ATATAATCTTAGCACTTGGGTGTTAGAGGGTGGAGGATTTCCCACTGTAGGCCAGCCCGAACTATACAGAGATCCTGCCTCATAAGTCAAAATGAGCACTGGAGGCAGGCTCCATGTGGGTATAGTACTTGTCTACCAAGCCCTGAAGACCTGAGTTTAATCCCTGGAATTATCATTAAAATAAACAAAATCAACCCAAGCCAAAATGAAATACAAACTCAGAAGAAAACAAAGTTTCAGAGGAAAGTGGTAACACTCTTCAAAGAGATATGTACTCATTACCTAACATGTAACTGTAACCCCTCTGTACATCACCTTTACAATACATCTTTTCCCCATTCAATAGGTAGTTCTGGATTTTACTGTGGAGATAAAAATGCCAAGGTATAGGTGGGCGCCCGTGGCTCATGCCTGTAATCCTAGCTATTCAGGAGGCTGAGATCTGAGGATCATGGTTCAAAGCCAGCCTGGGCAGTAAAGTCTGTGATACTCTTATCTCCAATAAATCAAGTGGTAGAGTGCTTGCTTTGAGCTGAAGAGCTGAGGACAATGCTTAAGCCCAGAGTTCAAGCTCCACAACCACCAAAAAGAAGAAAGAAAAAAAAAAGCCAAGTTAAACTGGGTGCCATTGGTTCATGCCTATAATCCTAGCTACTCAGAAGTTTGAGATGTAAGGACAGTGGTTCAAGGCCAGGCTGGGTAGAAACATCTCCAATTAAACACTCAAGACATGCACATACATTTTAAAGAAGCTAAACATGGCAAAAAGCAAAAAATGAAAAAAAATTCAACACCATTAGCAATTGGAGAGGTGCAAATTAAAAATACTATGATTCATCATTTTTTAGAATGGCTAAAATAAGAAATAGTGACATCTGCAAATGCTAGTGAGGATGCAGAAAAAATTCATATATACAGCCCATGGGAATAAGTATTACCATGATAAATGTAAATATATGGAAAAAACTAAATTTAAGTGTGGGAAGTAAAAATAAATATAGCTGTTTTAGAAAAGTTTCTAAAATTAAAAATGTTAAAAACATTAAATAGGCCCGAGAATGTGGCTTTAGTGGTAGAGTTCTTGCCTAGCATGCATGAATTCCTCAGTACCACATAAAACAGAAAAAGCCAGAAGTGGTGCTGTGTCTCAAGTGGTAGAATGCCAGCCTTGAGCAAAAGAAGCTCAGGGACAGTGCCCAGGCCTTGAGTTTAAGTGCAAGGACTGGCAAAAATAAACCCCAACAAAAAACATTAAATATCAAATATCATACCACTCTACCACTCTATGATCATACACTTGGGAATGAAACCAGAGAAATGAAACCTTACATTCACACAAAACCCTCTAAGGAACAATGTATTACTTAGTAGCTTTCATAGTAACTTGAAAGGCAACTCCTGTTTTTCAATAAAATTTTTTTTCAAATTAAGCAAACCTGGGTAGAGTCTGACTACAGAATAGTTAAAAAAAATTAGTGATATGCTCAACAAACTGACCCCCTCCTCCAAAAAAGACTATTGAAATAAGATAATTATGGAGAAGGGATACAGAGGGGGACAGGATGAAATTAAAGAAAGGAAGGCTATAAAAGAACATGAAGGAACTTTTTGGTGGTTAAATGTTGCATGGATTGATTGTATCAGTGTCAGTGTCCTGCTTGTGATATTGTACTGTTGTTTTTCAAAAGGCTATGAATGGGGAAAAATTCAGCAAAGAGTATAGGAGATTACTCTTATCACTTCCTTTTTAGTGTTTTTTTTTTTTTAATTGAAGTTAAAAGAGAACAATGAAATCTGGTGAAACTGTAGTAGAAAGGGAGGGGGATGGTGATGGAATGATAGAGGGATTAGAGATTGTTGAAATACACTGTATACCTGTATCACAATGAAATCCCCCTTTGAATATAACTAATGTGTGTTAATAAAAAATTAAATCGGAGAAGTTATCACTTAAAAATTTCTGCAAGGGCTAGGAAGGTGGCTCAGTGGTAGAGTGCTTGCCTCACATGCATGAGGCCCTAGGTTTGATTCCTCAGCACCACATAAACAGAAAAAGCTGGAAGTGGCACTGTGGCTCAAGTGGTAGAGTGCTAGATAGCCTTAAGCTGAAGAGCTGAGGGACAGTGCCTAGGCCTAGAGTTCAAGCCCTATGACAACCTAGATTTCTAGACTATCAAACAGCTTATAGAAATTACTAACAAATAGAAAAATAAAACAAAATCTGGCATGAGCCTGACTAGGCAATTTTCAGTCCAAGCTGCCAGTGGCAGAGAAACCTCTATAGAAGGTTTCTTTTCTGGGAGTACTGGAGTTTGAACTCAGGGTCGCACACTTCATAGGCAGGAACTTTGCTGCTAAGCTATTCATCTCCAACTGTTCTTTGCACTGGCCCTTTTTTTTTTTTGGCCAGTCCTGGGGCTTGAATTCAGGGCCTTGGGCCCCCGTCCCTGAGCCTCTCTGTGCTCAAGGCTCTACTACTTGAGCCACAGTGCCACTTCCACCTTATTCTAAGTAGCTTATTGAAGATAAGGGGCTCACAAACTTTTCTGCCCAGGCCAGCTTTGAACCATACGGAAAGGGGTCCTTGTGGCTTTAGTATCCTTCAGTAGGATGCATCAATATGTAAATTTTTTATTTTTTGCATAGGGCTTGAACTCTGGGCTTGGGCACTGTCCCTCAGCTCTGCAGCCCAAGGCAGGCACTCTACTACTTGAGCCACAGCACTACTTAAAGTTTTCTTGTGGTTAATTGGAGATGAGAGTCTCACGGACTTTCCTGCCTGGCCTGGCTTTGAACCGTGATCCTCAGATCTCAGTCTCCTGAGTAGCGAGGATTACAGGCACTTGAGCCACCAGTGCTGTTCTATACTGGCTATTTTGAGACAGAGTTTTGCTTCTTGTGTAGGTATAAGCCTGTGCTGTGATCCCTTTCTATTTTAGCTGAGATGACCATCACCGATCACCAAACCCAGCTTCCCCCATTGAGATGGAGTCTCAAAGGCTTTTACTACCTGGGCCAGTATCAAAACATGATCCTTTCATTCTCATCTTCCCAAATACCTACGATTATAGGTGTGAGTCACCAGTATCCAGTTTCTGTTTTTTTTGGGTTTATTTTTGGGGTCAATACTGGGCTTGAACTCAGGGCCTGGGAGCTGTACCTGAGCTTTTGTGCTTAAGAATACTGTTCTCCCACTTAGCCACAGCTCTACTCTGGCCTTTTTGGTGCTTAATTGGAGATAAGTCTCAAGAACTTTCTTGACATGGCTGGCTTTGAACCTTGATCATCAGGTCTCAGCTTCCTGAGTACAACATTATGCTGTTTTTGTTTTTTTTTTAAGAGTCTGCTGTGTTAATTCCTGCTTTACTCTCCTTAGTGTTGGGATTTACCACAAGGTTTTTGGTAAGGTTTTAAAGGTTTAAGTATCATTTACGAGCCCGGTGCCAATGGCTCATACCTGTAATCCTAGCTATTCAGGAGACTGAGATCTGAGGATCACGGTTCAAAGCCAGGCCAGGCAGGAAAGTCCGTGAGACTCTCATCTCCAATTAACCACAAGAAAACTTTAAGTAGTGCTGTGGCTCAAGTAGTAGAGTGCCTGCCTTGGGCTGCAGAGCTGAGGGACAGTGCCCAAGCCCAGAGTTCAAGCCCTATGCAAAAAATAAAAAATTTACATATTGATGCATCCTACTGAAGGATACTAAAGCCTCAAGGACCCCTTTCAGTATCCAGTCTCCTTCTTAGCCTATCAGAATCCAACTATAGAAGAAATGTAGTTCCCCATGGGAAAATATTATTTTTGTTAACAGAAGGCTGAAATCAATTTCGTTCTTTTTTTTTGTCGTCTATGGGAACTGAACTCAGTGGTGCTGTCTCTGAGCTTTTTCACTCAAGGCTAGCACTTTACACTTTGAGCTACTGTGCCACTTCTGAGATAAGGATCTTTCCACCTTCTCTTGGGGAATAAAATATCAAATCCAGGTTCTTTTCAAATGTTTAATAAATGCTCCACTACAGAGCTATATCCATGATATAATTCATTTTAACTCCTAATATGTCACTGTACAAATATAACACATGTGTCCCTGAACTAAACTTTCAATTGCCTGCTAACTCTATTCCTTTATACTCATATGACCCTTTTTTCTCTTCCTGTTAGTACCTCTCCCTTTCTTGGGTCTCCAAAGCTGAGAAGTACACTGGAACCGTCCCTTCACTTGTGTCTATGTGATTCCTTTACCCTCTTCTACCTGTTCCAGGAGGCAGTTACAGTGGAGCTGTGGATCAAGTGGTAGAGCTCTGTTCCTGAGCACAAAAGCTAAGGGACAATTTAGTTTCTGAGTTCAATCTCTACTATCAGCATACATGTGCATACAATCCTATAAGGCAGCCATATTATTCTTTTACTTCACCCTAAATATTTACCCTTTTTTGCCTAAGAGATGTGTTAAAGCAAGATTTGACAAACTACCAGATTTTTAAAAGTTCAATTTCCCCATCAATTATGGTTGCTTGCAACAATACATGAGTGCTATATCATACTAAATGATTCTTTCCTAACTAGTTTACTAAACTTGCTACTTCAAACAAATCCCCCCTACAAAGTCCTTCCATTTCTACCCCAATTTTTTTTTTTTGAAGTTATACTGGAGCTGGGTGCTCATGACTATAATCCTAGCTACCCAGGAGGCTGAGATCTAAGGATCATGGTTTGAAGCCAGTGGGGCAAAAAGTCTGCAAGACTCTATCTTCAACTACCTACCAAAAAAGTTGGAAGTAGAACTGTGGCTCAAGTGGTAGAGCACTGGCCTTGAACAAAAAAAATTAAGGGACAGGGCTGGGAAGGTAGCTCAGTGGTAGAGCACTTGCCTTGCATGCCTGAGGCCCTGGGTTCGATTCCTCTGCACCACATAAGCAAAAAGAAAAAAGCCGGAAGTGGCGCTGTGGCTCAAGTGATAGAGCACTAGCCTTGAGCTGAAGAGCTGAGGGACAGCGCCCAGGCCCAGAGTTCAGGCCCCACGACCGGAAAAAAAAAAAAAAAAATTAAAAGAAGAAAGAATTATGTTGCCTTTTCCTATTTTTTTTCCAAACCCAGGTTCTCATGCATGTTACTGGGCACGAGTTACATCCACACCCTCCAACCCAAGATTTTTAATGAAAATTTTCCAAATTATTAGGAAGCAAATCCAGCAACATTTTTTATTTTTTGTCAGTTGTGGGGCTTGAACTCTGGTCCTGGGTGCTGTCCCTTAGGTCTTCAAGGCTAGCACTCTACCATTTTGAGCCACAGCATCACTTCTGGTTTTCTGGTGGTTAAATGGAGATAAGAGTCTCATGGGCTTTCCTGCTCAGGCTGGCTTTGAACTGCAATCCTTAGATTTCAGCCTCCTGAGTAGCTAGGATTACAGGCGTGAGCCACCAGTGCCTGGCTACCAGCAACATTTTTTAGTCCTAACCATTCTGTTGTTTCTGATGCTGTTTCATTAGTAAGTAAATATCCACTCTAATCCCTTGGACTCACCTTTTTATCATTAGCAATGGGTTCTTGGGACTTTAGAAGTGAAGCTCTTTCTTCATCAACCCAATTTCCCCACTCTTCTGCTGGTGCATTCCAATCAGAGCTGGGATCAGCTGAAGACAGACCATCTAAAATTTAACAGTATCAATTACTTATCATTTCTTCCACAAATAAATACAAAAACTAAAAATTCTTCATGTTGAACTAAGCTATATATATTTGAGACACAGTCTCACTATGTTAATCCAGTTTGGCTTCGAACTCAAGATTTTCTTGCCCCAGCCTCCCAAGTGTTGGAATTATGTAGCTTCATCACACTAATTTTTTTTGGGGGGTCGGTCATGGGGCTTGAACTCAAGTGTCTGGGTGCAATCCATGAGCTCTTTTGCTCAAGGCTAGCACTCTACCATTTTGAGCCACAGCATCACTTCTGGTTTTCTGGTGGTTAATTGGAGATAAAGAGTCTCACAGACTTTCCTGCTCAAGCTGGCTTTGAACTGTGATCCTTAGACCTCAGCTTCCTGAGTAGCTAGGATTACAGGCATGAACTACTGGCACTTGGCCACCACACCAATTGCTAAACAGTAATTTTAAAACAATTGCTCTTTTTCCAAGAATACTTTAAGAGCTAGAAAAACAAAACAACAATAAGCCAGTAAATGACGGTACCATCTTTACCAAAACTTTTCTAGGTACATATTAAATACACTTTCTAGATAGTCCAGTGAACATACTAATTAGCCATTTAATTTTATTCTCTTTATTTCTCTATTGGTCTCCTGAATCTTCACCCTTACTCATATCTATCTTTAATGTGGCCTGACCATCACATAATGTAATTGTTTCTAGGACAGAATTTATTTTCAGTAGCTAAAATTACACTCTCTACCTACTATCATTTATATACACATTTTCCCATCTTAAAGTATTCTTCAAATTTACCAACTCATGATAGAATATGCAACTTCTTCTCCTCAGATTACTCCATACCCCTTTTATCTGATTATCTCCAAAAGTATCTGAGTTGCTTTGAGGGCTTCAATTATCACAGACACAAAATCAGTTTTATTCTAGATTTCCAAATCGATTTCCTTCACTATAGAAGGCACTTTTTTTTTTTTTGGTTGGTTGTGAGGTTTGAACTCAGGGACTGGGGGATTTCTCAGCTCTTTTGTTCTATGCTAGTGCTCTTAGTCACTTTGAGGCACAGTGCCACTTCCGGTATTCTAGTTGTTGAGTCTCACCGACTTTCCAGCCTGGGCTGTTTTTCCGTTGCAATTTTCAGATCTCAGCCTCTCAGTAGAGGATTACAGGCACAAGCCACCAATGTCTGGCTTGTATGACTATTTTTTAAAAGCTTTTAGTAGGTTTTTCTTTTTTTTCCGGTCATGGGGCCTGAACTCTGGGCCTGGGCGCTGTCCCTCAGCTCTTCAGCTTAAGGCTAGCGCTCTACCACTTGAGCCACAGCGCCACTTCCGGCTTTGTTCTTTTTTGCTTATGTGGTGCTGAGGAATCGAACCCAGGGCCTCATGCATGCAAGGCAAGCGCTCGACCACTGAGCCACCTTCCCAGCCCCAGTAGGTTTCATTATATTCTTTTCCTGTGTACATAGAATACACTTCTGTAATTTCACTACTGACATCCTCTCCTAACATTGCTCAATGGAAAAATAAAAACATTTCCTACTAGCTCCAAATACTAAATTCTTTAATATATACTTACAAAATTCTCCTCCCACCAAAAAAACTCCACCCCAAACCAAAAACCCAAATCACACAGCATGAGACCCCAAGTTTGTGTGAGAAAGAAACAGATACATTAAAAATAAGTATATCTTTGTGGATTACAGGAATTTTATTTACTCACTAATTAATAAGTATTTTAGTTAATAATTTACTATACAGTAGAACTGGAACTAAGTAACTTCTAAAACCAAGTGAAATAGACTCCATCCCCAAAGACACCTGGCTCACACTCTGTCTATTCAGGGATGGAAGGATGCTTACATCTGTAAGCATAACAAGAAAAGAGTGATAGATTCCATCACAGGGATTGAGAAATTAGAGAGGAGGAGCTAAACCAGCATAGGACATGGAGAGCCATTAGGTGCTGGTGGCTCACGCCTGTAATCCTAGTTACTCAGGAGGCTGAGATCTGAGAATCATGGTTCAAAGCCAGTCTGGGCAGGAAAGTCTGTAAGACTCTTCTTTCCAATTAACCCCTAGAAAACTGGAAGTGGAGCTGTAGCTCAAAGTTGTAGAGTGCTAACCTTGAAATATAAAGCTCAGGAACAATGTCTAGGCCCTGATTTCAAACACCACTACCAACAAAAACAAAAGAAAACAAAATAAAGTTTACAGTTCCGTGAGGGAAAATAGGGAAAAAGTGACTGTGAGAAGTGTCCCAAAAAAGTCCATATATTTATGAATTCAGTACCATGACAGGCATTCAAAAACAGTTTTAACAGTATTAACACAAAAGTTCAAAGCATAGGTGTTACATTCAACAAATGAACATATGCACAGTTCTCTACAACTTACTGACATTGTGATTTGCTTATGTTTCTTAATCTTAATTGACTATATACCAACTTCATAGAATGCTGAGAGGATAATATAAAATATATGTAAACAGTTCAAAGCAATGCAATAAATGCTCAATAATATTGTTTTTATCATCATGAAGGATATATATATATGTATATATATACATATATATATATTTCTTTTTTGGTTGTTGTTGGTTGTGGGCTTGAACTCTGGCCTAGGTGCTGTCCCTCAGCTCTTCAGCTTAAGGTTAGCACTCTACCACTTGTGCCACAGTACCACTTCCAGTTTTTTTGGTGGTTTATTAGAAATAAGAATTTCACAGACTTTCCTGCCCAGCCTAGCTTTATTATTATTATTTTGGTCAGTTGTGGGACTTGAACTCTGGGCTTGCTTGGGCACTGTCCCTCAGCTCTTCAGCTCAAGGCTAGAGCTTCTACCACTTGAGCCACAGCACCACTTCCGGTTTTCTGGTGGTTTACTGGAGATAAGAGTCTCACGGACAAGATTGGGTGGGGGTGGGTGGGGGGAGGATGGGAAGGGGAAACAAAGGAAGAGGCTACAACGCTTAATAAGAAATGTACTCATTATCTTTCCCATATAATTGTAACCCTTCCGTACAGTATTTTCACACACACACACACACACACACACACACACACACACACACACACACACACACACACAATATATACATAAAAAAAGTCTCACAAGCCGGGCGCTGGTGGTCCACGCCTGTAATCCTAGCTACTCAGGAGGCTGAGATCTGAGGATCACGGTTCAAAGCCAGCCCGGGCAGGAGGAGAGACCGTGAGACTCCTATCTCCAATAACCACCAGAAAACCGGAAGTGACTCTGTAGCTCAAGTGGTAGAGCGCTTGCCTTGAGTTGAAGAGCTGAGGGACAGCGCCCAGGCCCAGAGTTCAGGCCCCACGACCCACAAAAAAAAAAAAAAAGTCTCACAGACTTTCCTGCCCAGCCTAGCTTTGAACCGTGATCCTCAGATCTTAGCCTCCTGAGTAGCTGGTATTATAGGCATAAGCCACCCGTGCTCAGCTCATGAAGTATATTTTAAAACCATTTATGTGCATCAATAAGATACATTTGATGAATTGCAAAATCATTTTTGTAAGTACAAAGTTATCAAGTAGATGTTTGGAGTAAATAACTCATATCAAGCATTCATTAACAGAACTGTTAGGATATTCAAATGCCAGAGATGTCATTGTAAGGTTTAAAGCTTACAGATAACACACTCAGACTTGAAAAATTGCTGTTCATTAGCCATGTCTTTATGACTGTTTGCCAAGAAAGAAACTATCAAGTAGGAAAAAAAGTAGGCAAACAGGCAGAATAATTCACATACGCCCATTTTCTTAATGATGGAGATGGGTGTCAGGGATAAAAATCTAGTGATTTAGTGAAAGGATTATTTAAAAGGCTTAGATGGCCCTAAACTTTGATGAATAACTGTCACCAATAGTTTAATTCCTTAAGAATATTAATAGAAGACAGATTTTTATAAATATCTTTTCTTTTGGTCAGTCACTGGGGCTTGAACTCTGGGCCTGGGTGCTGTCCCTTAAGCTCTTCAGCTCAAGGCTAGCACTCTACCATTTGAGCCACAGTGCCACTTCTGGCTTTCTGGTGCTTAACTAGAACTAAGAATTTTATGGATTTTCCTGCCCGGGCTGGCTTTGAACTGTGATCTTTCAGATTTCAGCCTCCTGAGTAGCTAGGATTACAGGTGTGAGCCACCGGTGGCAGCTCTTATAAATATCTTCTACGTGGTTCTCAGGCTTGAACTTAGGGCTTAGCTTTTTTGCTCAAGGCTACTGCTCCAGCTTTTTGGTGGTTAATTTGGGTAAACTCAAGAGCCTTTCTGGCACATAAAGACATCTATACCTTAAACCTAAGAGACAACATGTTAAGCATATGACATGATAAATGTAAAATGATATTTGGACTAAATATTATGT